TCCCAAGGAGCAGGGAGCCTGACGCGGGACTCGATCCCAGGACCCTGAGATCATGACCTGAGCCGAAGGCAGACGCTCAACCATCTGAGCCACCCAGGCGCCCCTTGGCCTCAACTTTTTAAAGTTTATGATACTCATTTGTGCTTCCTTCCCCACCGGCGAGTTTTTATTACTATGAAATGAAATGATTGAAAATAATATCATACTGATACATGGGAAAACAGTTTTCACGGCTATTACACTCAGTTTTGACATATTATCACACCGCAGGCACACAAGGACTAGTTGTACCTATCAGCACAAAAACCCTTAGGAAGATCTTGAAAAAGGAAAGGACCACTTGGTGTTACAATGAAACCTCTTCTAGAGTTGGAATACTAAGGACATTACCTACAAGAAAACAAGACATGTAATACACCAATTCTCACATTATCTTCCTAATTCCTATGTCTAAAAAGATTCTGGCTAGGAACCTTCTGAGCTGGCTACTGAGCATTGCCTATCAAGTACCTTGGAATCAGAGTATGGCTTTAACCACAGCTCGTGGTTAGGTAATGATCTCTACTGAGTATCAGATACAGAAAGGCCTCTGTATTCTATTATTACAGAATAATCAAAAAAAAATGAGTGTGGATATGGGTCCTGACTGCTAGACTGATCTTCCTAAGAACTTTGCTACATTCTACCTTAATGGCCCAGTTGTTCGATTGGAATGAACAGCACAGGATTTGGTCCACTCCCAATCAGTGCATAGTGCTGCATATGGACAAGCTCCTAATCTTCATCACTTATGATCCTGGAAATGTCAGAGAGCAGCACTGTTTGAACAGTCAAATGATATGAAAGCAAAAACAACAGACTCTCTGCGATAATCTTTAATTGTTCTGTATAAGACGGATATGAGCAAACATAAAATATACTACAAGGTTATAAAGCAATAAATACAACAATACTTTTAAATGTTCATAAAAGAAACATGCCAAGTAAGATTACATAAATATTTTTGCTTGCCTTTTCAATACTTAGAAAGGCTTTAAGAAAGGATTTTGATGACCTAGTTCTCTTTAAAAAAATATCCAAGGAAGTTTAAATTGACATGTTATTTCTCTTAACATCCCTATAGCAAGCAGAGAAGCTCAATATTATTTCATTAACCTCAGGATTTAATGCCAGCTATGATATTATTCCAGAAATTGATATAGTATCTATATATTTGTGGCTTCAAAGATTCCAGAAAGATTGAGCTTATACAATATAGACTTTTATTCACATGCCCTACTCCTTAGTCACACCAGTTTATTTGCTATATCCTTTTATATACTTTGGCTCAAGGCTGAAATGTTTCTTCCTACCTTCTTTCCTGCATTTATCCTTCAGGACAGAGATCAAACATTCCCTCCTTAAAGACCTCACTAAGGCTTGCCTTACCATCTCCCCTACAAACATGCCTGGTTAGTCATTCCTTCTCAGAGCACCTTGCAACTAGTATCATCCTTATTACACGAAGTTATATATGTCCATCTCCTTACAGATCTGTACTGTTGAATATGGTAGCCATTAACCACATATGGTTATTGAGCACTTGAAAAATGTCCATTGACACATGAATGGATAAAGAAGATGTGGTACACACACACAAACACACACAATGGAATATTAGCCATCAAAAAGAATGAAATCTTGCCATTTGCAATGATGTGGATGGAACTATGCTAAGGGTATTATGCTAAGTGAAATAAGTCAGAAAAAGACAAATACCATAGGATTTCACTCATATGTGGAATTTAAGAAACAAAAGAGATGAATGGAGGGGAAGGGAAGGAAAGATAAAATAAGATGAGAACAGAGAGGGAGGCAAGTCATGAGAGACTCTTAACTATAGGAAACAAACAGGGTTGTTCGAGGGGTGGGGGGGGCAATGGGGTAACTGGGTGATGGGCATTAAGGAGGGCACTTGAAGTAATGAGCACTGGGTTTTGTATGAAACTGATGACTCACTAAATTCTACCTCTGAAACTAATAATACAGCATATGTTAATTAAATCGAATTTAAATAAAAAATAGAAATGTGTCTTGTCCAAATTGAAATGTGCTGTCACTGGACAATACATGTTAGATTTCAAGGACTTGTCACAAACATAAAAAATGCAAACCATCTCGGGCGCCTGGGTGGCTCAGTTGGTTAAGCGACTGCCTTTAGCTCAGGTCATGATCCTGGAGTCTCAGGATCGAATCCCGTATCGGGCTTCCTGCTCAGCGGGGAGTCTGCTTCTCCTTCTGACCCTCCCCCCTCTCATGTGCTCTCTCTCTCTCTTTCTCATTCTCTCCCTCAAATACATAAATAAAAAAAAAAATCTAAAAAAAAAAATGCAAACCATCTCATTAATAATTTTATATTGATTACATACTGAGAATATTTTGAATATATTGGGTTACATAAAATATATTATTAAAATTAATTTCACCATTACTTTTACTTTAATGGGATTACTAGAACATTTTAAATTACATATGTGGCTCTATTATATTTCAACTGGATAGTGCTGTTCTAGATTCTAAATTCCTTCAAGGAATGGCCATTGTTTCTTTCCACTGAATCCCACAAGACCTTGCACAGAGTAGCTTTACAAAAAAAAAAAAAAAAAAAAAAAAGCTTAAGCAGAACGATTTGCTCTTACTCCATATACCTCCCAACCCTGCTTTCTAATGCTATAGACTAAGTAGAAAGCTCATTAGAAATGTGGGAAATAAGCAAAGGCATAGTTTGAAGGTGTCCATGGGCTAATTAGATGACTGTCAACTTGAGTGTTTATCTAAAAAAAATACCTGTTGGTTAAATTACTATTTCCTCCAGCTTCATATTCCTCATCTGTAAAGTGAGGACACTAACTGAAGGATATAAAAGTGGAGTCAGTGATTCTGACTTAAGTGGTTTCTGTGCCTTTCCCACTCATAACACCACCACTACATAATTAATTTCCTTATATAGAATGACGTTTATTACAGGAACATGGGCCAGAGAAATCTCATGGACAAAATGCTGAAGGATCTAGTTGAGGAGAACTTAAGACTAGAACACTGTTGGGCACCTGGGTGGCTCAGTCAGTTAAGTGCTTACCTTCAGCTCAGGTCATGTTTTCAGGGTCCTGGGATCGAGCCCTGCATCAGGCTCCCTGCTCAGCCGGGAGCCTGCTTCTCCCTCTCCCACTGCCCCTGTTTGTGTTCCCTCTCTAGCTGTCTCTCTCTGTCAAATAAATAAATAAAATCTTAAAAAAAAAAAAAAGACTAGAACACTGTTGGTACAAGCCAATTTTGAGGAAATGCAGATACTCTGTTATGTAGACTGCTTCCTTGGATTTATGGTAAAGGAATTTTACCTAATTAGCATCTCATTTACGAGATGCAAAGAGGAACTAGAAAATATATTACTTTATGTGGCATTCCCTTCTTTATACTTTACTTCTAAATAACATCAAATGAAACCCTGGAAGACAAAGGTTTGATTTAAATGTGAAGATTGTAAGCATTTTCTTTATTAAACCTTTTAAGAATGGGTTTTTGAGTCTACAAATTCTACAAACCTCAACTGTGATGCTTTTTTCATCTTTCTCTGCTTGTTGGAGAGCTTCCATTTTCTTACGACAGTCTCTGAGATCATTTTGTAACTGAGACACCAGATGACGCTTCACCGCGTTGCTCCCCAGCAAACGCTGCACTTCTGCTTTCAGCTTCAGAATGACCTCATCTTTGGAAAGCTCGTCCTTTGGCTCTTCTTGCTGTACAATGCTAATGGAGAAGTTATCATATTTAATGTTAAAGCAAGTAACAAATCAAGCATGGTTAGTCCTTGAAACTAACCGCAGTTGTGACCATATTTTGTGACCTATACAACTATACACTAGTATTTTAAAAGCAATTTTAAGTTCTGTCATACACAAGGGTATCACCCTTGCTATGTCCCCATATACAGAAGTCTATTCATAAGAAGACTATTATTATGCTTAGACCACCTGCCTCACTGAAAGGAGTTCAACCATGTGAACTTCAATATGGCATGCTTTTTTTGCTTTTGGTTAAGTTGCATGCTGCTGTATATGTATGCCCTTTATGACCCTAAGAGAAACAACACGAAAATAAAGGAGGCAGTGAAAAGTAAAATAGTCATCCTAACAATTTCTGTATTTTTTTTTTTAAAGATTTTATTTATTTATTTGACACAGAGAGAGAGCACAGAAGCAGGGGGAACAGCAGAGGGAGAGGGAGAAGCAAGTTCCCCACTGAGCAGGGAGCCCGATGCGGGGCTCGATCCCAGGACTCTGGGATCATGACCTGAGCCGAAGGCAGACACTCAACCGATGGAGCCATCCAGGCGCCCCTGTATCACTTTTATTTATACACAAGTCTGAGTGGTTATCTGAGCAACTGGGGCAAAAATAACAAAAATAAAACCATGCTAATTTAATTCCAACTTTAGTTTCAATAAATTTCAAAACTGGAATGAGATGAGAATTCTGCTCCTTGCCATAATAGATTAAAAGTACCAGATTTCTCTTCCTGCCCTAAAAAACAAGAAAACCAAATAAAATATATGAAATGATCATTTTCAATCATGAGACAACAGGAAGCAGAGCATAATGATCCTTCAGAAAAGGAAAACAAACAAGGTGAGCCCTGTGATCCTTCCTGCTTTCTCCCTGGGAAATTTCCAGCCTGCGGCACAGGGAGAGAAAAGCCAAAGACTGCCTAGCAATCTCACCAAGTTTGGGAAGGACAAAACGGCTAGAATTTGATGAGGGAAATACTATGGGAAAGGTAACTACACAGAAAGAACTCTAGAGATCCGTATATCCATGTGAGAATATTACTGCAAAGCCAGAGAAACCACAGGAAAGGAATAGGGCTGGGAATACTGGGGGTTCCAATGAACCATAGTGGAAAGACCTCCTAATTCACAAAATATTAACTACTGCCTTAGTAATGGGGCCAAATTAGCCCCAGGTTAAATAAAGTCTGCTCTAAATCTGACCGAACAAAACCTATAAAGAAGGCTTAAAAGGACCAAATGGATTCCATGAAACTTAAGTGTGCCACAGAAAAAGAATAACAATATTTTTATAAATACAACAAAATCTAACATCTCAAACATAAAATTCAAAATACCCACCAACCAATCAAAATTTATGAGGCATGCAAATAAGGAAAGAAAATATAAACCATAACCAGGAGAAAAATCAATCAATAGAAACTGACCCAGCAATGATGCTGGCAGTAGAATTAATTATATTCTATATGTTCAAGGTAAGAAAAAAAACATGAACACAATAAGAAATAAACGATATAAAAATGACCCAAAGTGAACTTTCACTAAATATTACAACATCTGAAATGAAAAATATCTTTGATGAAATTAACAGCTTATTTAATATTGCAGAAAAGATCAGCAGACATAAAGATGTAACAATAGAACTCTACAAAATTAAACACAGAAAGAAGACTAAAACAGAAATATACTGAGCATGTTAAGTTTTCTAACCCCATTGTAACTGAAATCCCAGAAGAGGAGAGAGGAAGGGGACAGAAAAAAAATTTATTTTTTTAAAGATTTTATTTATTTCAGACAGAGAGAGCAAGCACAAGCGGGAGAGGGGCAGAGAGAAAGGGGGAAACAGACTCCCTGCTGAACAGGGAGCTCAACAGAGGGGTCAATCCCAGGACCCTAGGATCATGACCTGAGCCGAAGGCAGACGCTTAATGAACTGAGCCACCCAGGCACTCCCCAAATTTTTTTAATGAACAAAATTCTATTTGATGAAAATTAAAATCCTATTAAAACCTATAAGCTCAATGAATCTCAAGCAGAAAAAAAGAGAGCACAGGAAGACTCCTGGAGAGGAGAGAACCAGAGAAAGGAGTCATGAATTCTGTACATAAATATGTACAAGCAAGTTTTGCACAGTGGCAGTATCATAGCCAATGAGGTTTATCCGAGGCGCGATTATTGCTAATTGAAAATATGTACAAGCTTTAGTCTAAGCCCTGAACTATGCATGCACAGAACAGACCCACAAACCAGCAGAGCAAATATTTGGATAATTTAACTGAAATTTGAACCACACACACAAATCTCACAATGACTAACTTTCGAGCTATGCATACAAGGACAGATTCAAACCAATGTGGCAAAGGCTTGGACAAATAAATTGAGATTTGAAACACCTATACAAGTTTCTACACAACATAAAAACATCTAATACAGGCATACCATGGTGATATCGCAGATTTGGTTGCACACCACCACAGGAAAGCAAATATTGCAGTAAAGTGACTCAAATGAAGTCAAGTAAGTGAGCAACAGCATTATGTCTAAAAAACAATATACAAACTTTAATTAAAACATACTTTATTGCTAAAACATGCTGACCATTGTCTGAGCTTTTAGTGAGTTGTAATCATAGAAAACAGCTCAACAGAAATTATCCAATATGAAAACAGAAAAAAAAAATTGGAAAAAAATGAAGTGTCTCAGGAACTGTGGGACAATACAAAAAAAATTTAAATTGTATAATTGGAGACCTAGAATAGGAGAGAAGAAAGAAGCAGGGACAGAAAAGATATTTGAATAATGGTCAACATTTCACAAATCTGGTAAAAGACATAATAAATTCACATTTTCAATAAACTCAGTGAACACCAAATGAAATGAACTAGAAAAACCAAAAAACATTTAAGACACATCTTAATCAAAGTGCTGAAAAGGGGGAAAAATATCTTGAAAACAACAAAAGAAAAACAACACATTACACACAAGATAATGGTCCAAATAACAAGGATTTCTCTTCAGAAACCACGAACGGCAGAGACAGTGGAAGAACATGTCTTTAAAATGCTGAAATAAAAGAACAATTGATCCAGAATTCTGTAATCAGTAAATAGAAGGACATCATCATATAAGGAAGCTTAGAAGAAATGCTCAAGAAAATTCTTCAATCTAAAGGAAAATGTTATCTATAAAAAAAACTACAAGACATTACTGGAGAGAAACTAAAGAAGACATAAATAGAGAGGTACAACATGCATGTTCTGAAATTGGAAGACTCAATTTTTTTCTTCCTCCAGCTTTATTTAGGTATAAATGACAATTAGCAATTTCTTAAGATGTCAATTCTCCCCAAATTGGTCTATAGATTCAACATAATCCCAGTTAAAACTCCAGCAGACTTTGTTGTATAAATTGACTAGGTAATCATTAAATTTATTTTGGAATGCAAAGAACTTAGAATACTCAAAACAATTTTGAAAAGAAAGTTGAAGGACTTGCCCAACACATTTCAAGACTTACTGTAAAGCTATAGTACCAAGAGTGTTACTAACAAAAAGAGTAGGGGAACAGAATGAAGAGTACAGGGGCGCCTGGGTGTCTCAGTCATTAAGCGTCTGCCTTCAGCTTAGGTCATGATCCCAGGGTCCTGGGATCGAGCCCCTGCATCGGTCTCCCTGCTCGGCGGGAAGCCTACTTCTCCCTCTCCCACTCCCCCTGCTTGTGTTCCCTCTCTCGCTGTGTCTCTCTCTGTCAAATAAATAAATAAAATCTTAAAAAAAAAAAAAGGAGAGTACAGACAGGCCACAAATGGTCAATTAATTATCAACAAAGATATCAAGGCAATTTAATGAGAAAAGAGAGGTTTTTCTGACAGATGGTATTAGATCAACTGGATACTGATATGAAAAAAAACGGACATCAATCCTTACCTCATACCATACTAAAAAACTAATTCATAATAAATTAAATGTAAGAGGTAACACTATCAAATTTCTAAAGTCCTAAGAAAATTTTTGTGACAGAGTTACATTAGAACAAAAAGCCAGGAACTCTTTTAAAAGAGATAACTGATAAATTTGAATTCATAAAAACTTAAACTTTTGCTCTTCAAAAGATACATTAAGAACAAGATAAGGTAAACCAGAGTAGAAGAAAATATTCACAACATATAGATCAGAGAAAGGGCCTGTATCCTGGAATAAATAAAAACCAAACAACATAAACAAATGGCAGTGAAGCACATCAGAAAAAAAGAAGAAAGGGAAAGAAAAGCACATCAAAAAATGCTTAGGGACGTCTAGGTGGCTCAGTCAGTTAAGCGTCCAACTCTTGATTTTGACTCAGGTCATGATCTCAGAATTGTGAAACTGAGCCCAGGGTTGGGCTTCGTCCATGCTGGGCCTGAGCCTGCTTAAAATTCTCTCTCTTCCCTCTGCCCCTCCCCTCCCTTGTGCACATATTCTCTCTCTCTCTCAAAAAAAAAAAAAAAAAAGATGCTTAGATCGTTGGTCATTAGGTAAATAAAAATTAAATCACAGTAAGATTATCACTACACACACACTACAAATACTCAAGTTAAAAAAGATTAATACCACCAAGTTTTAACAACAACGTAGAACAACAAAAACCTCAGACATTGCTTCTGGTAATGCAAAATAGTACAGTCACTTTGAAAAACAGCATTCACGCTATCAATATCCAAATAAAATAGAGGAATTCTAATGTAACCTTAAAGAGAAAGCAAGTTGGAGCATAAGTGAAACAAAAAGCTACAATTATCTCCATTAGCAAATGATATAATTATATCTAGAAAAACCTAAAATACAATGGAAAAACTACTACAAACAATAAGAGAATTAAAAGTAACAGGTTACAACAAAAAAATATAGAAATCATATGTACAAACATTACTCAAGAAGAAATAATAGAAATGAATACCTTATTTACTATTACAAAAATAAAATAT